CTGTGACGCGGCCCCGTAGCGGTCTGCGCGCCCGGCGGAGGCAGCAGACGAGCCTCGGGACCTGCCGCCTCTCTCTCCCTCCCTCCCGCGGGGCCAGCATGCGGGGCCTGGTGGTCGCCGCGTTCCTCCTGCAGAGCGTCGCCGGCTCGGGCGCGTTCGCCGCAGGGAGGAGAAATGTGGACCCCGAAACGAACATGAACATCGTGAGTGGCGCGGAGGGGCGGGGAGGGAGAAGTGCCCGAGACCTGTCGCCGGCTGCGGCCGCGGGGTTGTAGCGGGGCGAGGAGAGGAGCGGGCCGGGGGGTCCGGGCGGCGGGCGGCCCCTTCGCGGCTCCACGGGCGCAACCCGGTGCCTGCCGCCCTCAGCAGCCGCGGCGGGAGCCCCGGGAGGCTTCAGCCCCTGGTCGGCGGTCAGCCTGCTGCTGCTGCTGCTGCTGACACCCTCTGCCTACACCTCGTCTTTCTCTTCTCCGCCTTCCAGGTCCTTTTTGCCCCCCTGTTGCCTGTGGCGGATCTTTCTCTCGCATGTTTTCTGATCCAGACCTGTGGGTTTTGCTACAGTCGGGACGCTCTCGTTAACTGCTAGGAAAGCGCATGTTTGTGAAGCGTACTTGGGCTGCCAGCACGACGCTCCCGCGTTCTGACCCACAGCTGCTTTTCTCCCCATCCAGCACTGACTCTCTGAACTTTATTCTCCTTCTGCTGCAATAGCCAACTCCAGGAAATACCTGCTGTTAGTAACTGGTATTAGTTGCTCTTTCCTCTGCCCCATCTAAACTGTGCCATTTTTTCACACGGGCGAGAAGATACTTCAAGCTAGAAATGCTTAAGGTCTCTAAGAAAAGAAGTTCTTGAGTCCTCAGTATCATCTAAATATCATTTCAAGAACTGAAAATAGTAATTTAGTCTAAAGCTAATAGCATTTGAATGGAATTTAGCCTTAAAATAATTTTGGAATGTTAATGTCACTGTGGATGATTAAAGATATATTTAAAAGAAATAGCACGTTTAATTAAATGCTCCTTCTCTTCCTTGCCCAGCAGCCTAAGAGTAGAATGCCAGTCATGTCTTGCATTTTTTACATTTTCTCAAGGCACGGTTGGTGTCATAAAACCAATTATATAGCAAGTTCTCTGTCCTGATGGAGTTGCATCAAATGAAAATAACATAAAGCCCAAGACGTAGGAGGTGGGAGATAAACCTATTAATGAAATCATAGTGTTAAACAAGTGTGGGGTTTTTTATTGTTATTTTCTTGTTTGGCTTGTCAGCAAAGTCACTTAAAAGCTCTGAAACAGACATAAGGTTTGAGGAGAAAGGTGAGTAAGAAGTGGCACATGAAATGGCAAGCTGAGGTGTGGCAATGTCCACAGCTCGCACATGTGAAGAGTGTGCCCTTAGTGTTTTAAGGCTGCTGTGTTTGTGGTTCATTTCAGCACATTGCCTAAACACGATTGTGTCCTCTGTATAACAGAGAACTCGGCTTACTAAGTTCAGTTATAAATCTGAAATGTTTCCCTTCAGGAGAGATGAAGTCTTCTCTTCTTCCATATGCTGCTGTGGTGCCAGTGGCTTTTTGCTGTCCTCACTTGTTTGTTACTGAAAGATACTGCTTTCCATGAGAGCAGTTTCAATTTTTGTCTCCCAAATCCGTGTCTCGGTGTTTTGCCCTCTTATCATAATCTCCTTTTCAACACTTCAGTCTCCTTTCTCACTGTAAGCAGCGTGTGAGTAACTAATATGACAGTGGATGGGGGCAGGCTAGCGAGTCCTCCCACATTCCCAGGATAAGGTCTGTGCTCTGGCTAGTCCCTGACTCCGTACTGGGATAAGTCTCATTAAGAAAACTTGTGTACATCGAATAGGTGGGTGGTATGGCACATTCCTACTGCATCCTTTAACTTCACATCGCCATCTTTGGAAGGAACCCTGAGTATTTTGCACATGTTAATGAACTGAGGAGGCTGGCAGTCTCACTCCAAGGCGGTTTCTTTTCTTTCTTCAGAGTCAAATTATTACCTTCAGGGGATACCCTCGTGAGGAGTATGAAGTGACAACAGAAGATGGGTATATCCTTTCTGTTAACAGAATTCCTTATGGAAGAAAAGGCCATGAGAGAAGCAAAGGTAAGATTTATGTCTGCTTGGAAAAATGGGAAGTCATGAAAAAGCTTTCTTTGATTTATAAAACTTTTGTTCCTGTAATAATCTAGAAAAAGATTGCAGACTAAATGTCCTATGCAGTCAAACATATAAACAAACAAATAAGTTTGTTAAAAATGCCTGACCATTTTCAGAAGTAGGCACAGTTCACATGCCTCTTTTGGTGAAATATAACTAAACAACAAGAGTTCCCACTAGAATGTTCACAGAATAATTACTGCCTGATTTCTGCATAAAATAAAAATTTGTTTGTTAATTTTAACCTCTCTGAAGCTCCCTTTGCAGTAAGGTACAAGCCAGACCAATACTGCATACTACTGGGGTGTCATATTTAACACAGCTGCTTAAATAAGTAAAACAATGCAATAAGATAAAATCCCTTCAGAACATCTTGAGTACAGTACATTTAAAAATATATTGCAAATTAGGACATGTAACAGGTAGTTGACAACAGTCAGCCCAGACCAGGTTGCTTTATGGATGTGATTTGATGGGGGACTGGGAGGAGCATTGGCGTATGCCACCAGAGCACTGTTACAAGGTGTAAGAATTACTGTGAAAGCTGGTATAAAACCATGGAAGGGATGCAGTGGGTGTACAGGTGAGGAGGTGGGGGAGAGGAAATGTAGGGGGAATGTAAGCTGAAACTTAAGGGAGTGATACGGGCAAAGGTTTTTGCAAGGACTGAATGATGGAATGCTTTAAATATGAGTCAAATGTATGTGGAAGAGGAGAGACACGTAGCCTTTGACTTGCTGTCCTCGTACACTGTGTATGGAATTAACAGTGTATTTGAAGAGCAATGGCTGAATTTGGTATCAGTCTTGTTGCCACCCCTTATAAAAGATCCTACAGACAACTGCACGCATACAACAGCAGCCTGTTCACATAGAAGCTGTAAGTATTCTAAGGACTGCCTCAGAAAAATTCGGACTAAAAAAAAAGCAGGATGAGAGGTGAAAACATAGAACAATCACTGATTTATTTTGTGAGTTCTATAGCCTTGAGTGTGAACAAGACCTGTGGAAAAACCCTCTTCTCTGCCAAAGGCCAAGCAACAGTCTTCCTGACCTTATCTATTGGTTTTGTATGAGTTAGGATGTTTGCGCTGGCCGTTGTCTCTCACAAGGTGGCTGTGTAAAGATCAGTGCATGGACAAGGCCAGTCAAACCTGGCAGGTGTCTTTGTACTTAGGAATTTCAGAGAAGCCCACAGGAAAAAGACAGGCTGCCTTTGTACCTGTTGATTTTGTCGAATCCTTCATCGATGACATAAGCAAACAGAAGTTTCCTGACCTGTGGGAATTTTCCACATTCCCCTTGCCACACCCTGGACCCCAAGTTCATGTTTTGCAAAGTGCTTTAATTTTAAAAACAAGGATTACTGAGCACATTTGGGGAAGTATGGTCTCCTAGAAGAATGAAGATTTCAAAGTTCATGTTGATCTTAAGTTTTTATAGACTTGGTATCTTTTCTCAGAAAGATACCAATGATGTCTTACTGCTGACTTAGCGTATATATGCCATAACTCTTCTTTTGCAATACCTGCATAATGTGAATAGGATCCCTTGGAATTACGTATCACATGATGGTTTGGAACAAAACCTACATTTCTTCAGCTAAAAAAAAAAAAAAAGAGAGAAAATGTCCAGAGAACCTAAAAGCAAAACATCAATGATTTTTGGTTTTAGTATTAACTAAAAATCTAAAACAACTGCATAGCGTGGATAAGAAGGGCATGGAAGTAAGTCTGTCTTCAGCTTCTTGGGGATGCAGTGAACAAAAAGTTCCATAGCAGAAAGTGTAGTTTAAGGACCTGCCTTTCTTATTCCCCTTCTGGGTTTTTTAGGATCAGAGGTGATACAAGATTATTATTGTCCAAGTCAGTTTGTCATATGATTGTGCAATTCATGTGCAGATCTGGTGACTGCTTGGTAAAGAGAAAAAGGAACTGACAGAAATTGGAGGCTAATAGGAGAACAGAATTAAAGCATAAAACATAAACAGTTTTCCTCTTCCTATGTTATGAAACATGCAAACATGCAAGTAGCAGCTTGAGGAGAGCCTGTTCTTCAAAAAAACAAAACCTGGTTGATCTGAGTTTAGTAAAAGGGAACATTGTCCTAAAAGGGATTTGTTACCCGCTGTGCAATAGACAAATCTCAGGAGGGAGATTGCTTTATTCTGCACAGGGTACTCGGTGGACTTTCCCCAAATCAAGCACACCAGATTCATCAGTTGTGTCCCTTTTATACAGTAACAATTGCATCTAATTTATTAAACTACTCCTACCTAGTATATATATTCAAACTATCTAATGCATATGCATAGGATTGTATAACCATGGTACATCAAATGCCTTCTCCGCATGCGCAGGAGTCTCTGGTGGTCTTCGGTGGTTGTTTGGGGAGGTATCGCCTCCTCGCTTTGACCGCTAAGTTGCTCTGTATCGGGTCAATGGTTTGTTTTCCTGCCAAGAGGGACGCATCATCAATCAGAGAGAATAGAAGGGATCAGAACTGGTGTTCCAGGTGAGGCACCATTAATCAGGAAGAATAGAAAAGATCAGAATGATCTTGGCTGCTTCTCTAGGTATTATGAAAATTGTTTGAAGTTGTAAATGATTAACTAACTTAATTTAAAACAGGACTTTCGAATCTACCACAGGATTTTCTATATTTGACATCAGGAAGAAGGTATCAAAGCTAAAAGTGAACATTACTGAAAACAAATTTAATGTTAGGCTTGAAAATCCTGCATGCTGTTCATAAGGCAGTGAAGTATTACTGCAGAGGAGTAAAAAGCTGAGTTGAACTGTACTGTCTCCAGTGCCAGTTTGGCACTGCTGGAGATCTGCTCTGGTTGCAGGCACAGCATGCCACAACATGTTTTTTTTAACAAAATGGGAAAAGCAGGCACTGAAAAGGTTCCTCGTCACAGGTATAAATGTTCCCAGGAGGGAGGAATATTGCTAATTTGGATTTTGGAACTCACAGCAAACATTTATAGACACGACCTGGAATGGAGCATGTAGGTGACTGAAACAGTTGTGATTTGGCTGTTTCTGCTGAAAGATCCAAGTCTAAATTATCGATGGAGGAAGTATTGCGTGAGTTAGTATTGTAATAGAATGATGTGTCATTGGAGAAGGTAAATTCCTGAGTAATCTCTGGCATTGAGCTAAAGTTACCGTGTTATCAGATTTCAGTTATTAAAGCAGAAAAAACCCACCCCAAAACACCTGTGCTACTGTGTGATCCAGAGACAGGCCTTGAATTTTCTGAAGGTCATGTTCCTCCTGAAGGCTTGTATGTTAATTTATTTTCTTTGTGTATAAGCAGGAACCTTCAATTTTCTAATCTGCATTCCACATAAAGGTGTCATTTCCCTTTTAAGGATGGGGAAGTCAGGAGGGAGGCTTCCTAAATTCCACCTGGGTCTTGACTGTGGTTAACTATTTAAGCCAAGGGGAGAAAGTCCTTTGAAACTTAGATTCCCTTGTTGGCTACTGCTCTTCAGGTTCTGCCAGAGCTTTGGTAATGGAAGGATGTTGCGTAGAGACAAAGTCAGTACCACCACTTGCAGAGATTTCCACAGCTCAGCACCCTAGTTTGGCATTGTCTTAACTGGAAAACAAAGATCTCAGTAGCGCATCTATGGGAATGCCTTCCCCAGATTTAGGGACAGGGCAAGGGTCATAAGTAGTTTAGTTGTCTCTGTGTTTGGGCCACTTTGCTGAGTATTTGTGAGCCTGAAACAGTTTTAAGGGCTACCTGCATTTTTCTTGTAGCTCCTGCTTTTCTCATGTTTGCTTATTGCACATTTGCTGTCTGTTTTGAACTTCAAGGAGTCTTTTGCTCTAGTTAGGAAACTAACAAGTTGCTAGTTTAAAATTCTTAATAATAAAAAGTAGCTTTTTGTGAAAATGTGGGTTTTCATGGCACTATGAGTATTATACAAATTGCTAATCTTAGTAGATTAAGTCAAGTAGATTAAACATTCAAAGTGCAAATCTAAAGCAGACTTTCAGTAACTCACTTGAATTATTCTTGGGCATTCAATTCCAGATGAACAGGAAGCTATGTTAAGTGCTTTATTTTTCAGGTCCAAGGCCTGCTGTGTTTCTGCAGCATGGTTTGCTTGCAGATGCCAGCAATTGGATCACTAACTTGGATTACAACAGCCTTGGCTTTATGCTGGCAGACGCTGGCTATGATGTATGGCTGGGAAACAGCAGAGGGAATACCTGGTCCAGGAAACACACACACTTCACAGTGAAGCAAGAAGAATTCTGGGTTTTCAGGTATCCTCGTCTTGCTAGAGAAACTACACACGCTGTTTGTGAGCAGGCTTCTCTTCATCTCTTTGCCCATCATCTCGGCTCAGTCACATTGTGAATGTACAATATGCTTTTGTTCTGGTTACCTGTGCTGTCACATATGTAGGGGCAGTAAAGGGGAGTTTTGTGGTCAGTATAGCGTCTTGAGACAGCCTTCATATGTGGCGAGCAGAATGTTAATTGCTTTCACCAGTGCTTGGTGTGAAGACTCAATCACCAGAGTGTTCTGCTTCATCCAAAGGAAGCTTTTCTTTATGTCCAGACAACTGATCTGCAATGCAGTAAAGCTCTGTGCAGCTGTTCCACGCTGATAACTTTACTTACACAACTGACTTTTTATCTTTCCTTTGTAGCTTTGATGAAATGGCCAAGTATGACATTCCAGCCTCAGTGGACTTTATTTTGAAGAAGACTGGCCAGGAACAAGTATTTTACATTGGCCATTCACAGGGCACCACAATGGGTATGTGAAGAGATGCATTCGTTAGAATATGTTGTGTTTGAAATGATACCAAGTTCCACATATGTGGTTTAATGATGAAAAACTAGGGCTTTTGAAATTACTCATTCTGGTTTTTAGCTGCTTCCTGGAATATTTATCAACATTAAAAAGAAAAGACTTAACCTTTTGGTGTTTACTTAAAGTGGGAAGCTATTGAAATGATAAATTGAAGTGACCGGTAGCCACCAGTACAGTTTCTATTAAAATAAATTGATGAACTGTGCATAATAAAATTAGAATCATCAGACATGTAGAATAAAGATTCCCACTTCCAGAGTATTTTGCTGTAGGTAAGGCCTGGCTCAGGTGCTTTTAGACCTGCAGATAGAAAGAGCTGGAAGAGTGTTGAGTGAGTTAGCATGAACTTGTTTTTCAGAAGAAAACAAATCCTTCTGATTTGCCTCTTAATTTGTGTTCCATAGTAACTAGCTTAATTTAAAATATCTAAATTGATCCTAGAGACAACAATGAAACTATAAACACTCAATGTATCTTAGATTTTATAGAATCACTGCCAGGTAAAATTCTCATCTAACTTGTGTCAGTGAGGTTTGTTAATTATTCTCATATTATTTACAGCTTTCATTGCTTTTTCAACTTTGCCCCAGCTGGCTAAGAAAATCAAAATGTTCTTTGCCTTGGCACCAGTAGCTACAGTCAAGTTTGCCACTAGTCCTCTGGCAAAATTGGGAGTGTTTCCTGACCTGCTACTCAAGGTTTGTATTTGAGTGTAAATGTTTTAAGCCAAACCAGGTGTCCCCTTTTCTAGTTGAAAACAGCATAGCAAAGAATGTTAATAGCTGTGATTAGATTACCATGTTTGAGAAGAATACTGGGCCAGTTTTTCCATAATAATGCTATGGAAGTAAGCAGTGGCTTCTCTGGCTTTACTGCTGTCTAATGAGACAATTTGCATCAGTTTAAAGTAGTATTTTACAATTACAACTTAAGAGATGGAATAAAATTATGTTTTTCCATTTACATGTTTCTAGAATTTACGCTACAGAAATCACATGATTAATTAGATAGTTGGCCTGTTTTAGAACAGTCATATGATAGCTTTATACGGAATACTTTTGAATTGTCATGAACTGTAACAGATTTGTTGCACAATTAACTATTTAGTATTAGAAGAGGATCCCTCAGAGGGTGGTGAAGAGCAGCAGCTTTATTTAGATGCTGTGAATCATCCTGTGGAGGAGTTTCCCTTTCGCCCTTAACATCAAAGGGAATGTAGGCAGACTGGCAGGCTGCACTAAGTGCCTGAAGTCAGACATCATGAACACTCTGCTTGCCATGTGTCATTTTTAACGATCACTTTTCTTTCCACCACCCGTGGAGATTCCCAGAGCTGTTTGTTCTGTGAGATAAACCCTTCTCTAAGGTACCTTGTACAGATTTAATGCACAGCTGTTTGCATTGTTAGTTTCCTGCTCAAAAGGCAGATACGTAAAAGTTAACTAACAATTGTGGTCTCCTGTTCCTCGTGTAATGAACTTTTTCTAATAAGGATAGTAGCTGATCAGTGCCCTGTGCAGACGTTCGGGTTGTGCTGAGGAACTTGATTCTCATGGTGACTTGCAAAAAAGCTGGAGTGCAGAAGTACATGACAGCCACAAACCCATGTGTCAGTTGTATCTTTAAAGAGCTGTGTCACTCTTTAAGGAAGTGCTCAGTGGGCCATTTTCAAATCCTTGGCCATTTTAAAAATAGTCATCAGGAGGAAGTGTCCACCACAGCTCATGCTGCTTGTTTTTCTTCCATGGTTTGAAGAGAGGAAGTTGCAAGTACAAAGCCATTTAACATGAGCAGATGTAGCTCTAAAATATTTTAACCTTAAACAACTCTGATGACAAGAAGCTATGTAGTACTTCTGTAAAATACTGAATTTAAAACTGATTAGAATTTGAGGTGAGGTTTGGAATTCTTTAATGATGTTCCCACTTCCCACATACTTTTTGAGGGTAATGGACTGCATCATTGGTAGCAGAAGCACTAACCATGACCTTCCTGTTGGACTATAAACGAGGTTGATAAGGAGATAAATAATTTTCATATGGCACACCTGTCACCAGTGCAAATGGAAAAAATTACCTCAAGAATGTTGTAGTGTAAAAACTAAATCCAGGTCATTCTATGCAATTATGTTTGTCCTATGTGTGTGTTATTTTGTAGGACATGTTTGGAAAGAAACAATTCCTCCCTCAGAATTCTTTGCTGAAGTGGCTTGCTACCCATGTTTGCACACACAGAATACTTGATGACCTTTGCGGCAACTTATTCTTTCTTCTGTGTGGTTTTAATGAGAGGAACTTGAATATGGTATGTTTTGGTGACTTTTAATAGCTGAGTTATTGTGAATTCTAACACAGTATTGACTGTGTATCACTGTAGTGATTGTCCTTTACATGTAATTAGAAAAAAAATAATGCTGCCTTCATCATACTGAGTTTGGATGAATATCTGTCCTTGGTATAGATGTAGTTGCCCAGTTTGGATGGATAGAATTAACCTTTTAAAGTGTTACTGGAAAGCTAATATACATTATTTTAGATCTGTTGGGAGAAGTGGGTAAGAAGGGAATTAATATGATGGTGCAAGTATTTAATTCTTTTTGCAAGGAAGTGAGGAATAAAGATACAGTTTTCAACCATTTTCAGGAGAACTGTTGAAGTTTTCTGGTCTCTCGGTGGATGTGTGCAATTATTTTTGCTGGGACCAATTTCTGACTCTGCTGATGGCTTCATCTGTGGTTCTAGTTCCAAAGGATGTGTTCATAGGACTTGTTTTGTTATCTAAAAGCAAGTTAACAGCAACTGGTGTGAGACCACCTTTTTTCATAATGCTTCTTAAAGTGTTTCTAAATCCCTGAAATAAGTAGAACCTGGTATCAGTTTACCCACAGGTAGATGAAGGCTGAGGATTTTTTTTACTGGAGTGAGATACAATTAGCATTAATTTTTTTCACCATTCTGTGTGCAAAAATGTGCTTTTTTTTTATTTTATATCAAGGTGAAAGTGTGGGTTTTGATTTTTCTTGCCAGCACATACAGTTTTCATGGTTTTATTGGTGGTTGATTGTTTTTTTTTCTGCCAGGATTTAAGTTTGCCTGCGTATTTTGTACTTCTAAACTCAAAGTATATGAAGTTCTGAATCAGTTTGGATTGACAGTTACTAATTTAGCTGTAGAGTAATGCAAGGTTTCTCTGGAGGTCCATCCAAATATTAGTTAATGTGCTCCCAATTCTTACAATACTAGCACTTTTTAAAAGATATTCTGAATATATAAAAAAATGCTGAGTGGATATCATTATCAGGTTTAAAGTTAGGCTTTAAAGTTCTGCGGTTAATTTTAAGTAATCCCCAAAACATTTGAACCTTTTACCTCTTCTGTATATATGGCTCTAGTTAACTTTTGTTTATAACAGTTTTGAGAGGAATGGAAAATTTTCTGTTAGTTGTTCAACAAGCAGTAATGGTTGCACTGTTGCACTGTGAGGAGTAAACCATGTTAATTATGTTGTTGCAGAGCCGAGTGGATGTGTATTCAACACACTGCCCTGCAGGGACATCTGTACAAAACATGATCCACTGGAGCCAGGTAGAGTTTCCAGAATATAAAATGTCTGTGACTCTAGCTTGTTTGTAGAATATTGATGTCCCTGATATTTAAATGAAATAAGATGCCAAAATATATATGTAACATAGCCCAAGTGAAATTCTGGAACTGCCAATTGTCTGAATGGCAGCTGTTCACTGCAGCTGCTTTGATGATGCAGACTTAGGGTGGCTCACCCCTCTCCCCTATTTCTTTGAAGATAGGCTAACTGTAAGTACTTCAGGTCAACAAAGAATACAATGGAATAACTTAACTCAGAGATGCTGTAACAAGTATTTGCTCCCCTTTCTGCAAATCCAGTTTTGATTACAAGTTATATTTTTAGCCAGTGAAAAGCAGCAGGCTTTCTGTTCTGTTCTGTTCTGCTTGGCTTGATTTTCTATTTTATTAGTGTATTTTGAATTTCACCTCAGTGCACGATTTCATGCCTGTGATGCTATTGTGCCTGAAGCTTGCTCAGCAGGTTGACAAATACAAGAAGACATTTGCCATGGAAGCAGCGGTCAGTGCTACTTGTGATCTTGTCACTGGACTTGGTCATCTATTCAGCAGCAGTGTGTTTTGCTGTAAATAGCTGTTCAAGTATTGGCTTGGGAAGAATTTTGTGAAGACTTTTTTTTTTCCCAGATCCCTGTTATATAGACTTCCGTTTCTGAAAAATAATAATTAAATCATACAGAGTAGACTTTCTAAAAAAGCTCCATGCTGTGTTCATATACATTTAGACAGCAAGGTAAATATTTCAGAAGTAAGCATGGAGCTGGCACATCCTGGCTTTGGATGCACTAAACTGTTTTCCTTAATCTTTCCTACCATTGCTATGAAAGACCATGAAATCTTAAGGGACAAAGTCTAATGGTATTGAATGTTAATGTTTCCCTCTCCTGTGACACTGGGCAAAGCAGTGACACTTGTTCTTGTTAATACTTGGCATTTCACTGTTTCTTGTGTCAGTTGCCTTTGCCGATTCTCCAGGTGACCTATACTTTTTTATTCCTGAAATAGAAGTCTTGCAGTTCTTCTTTCTATGTGTGAATATTTATTTATTTCTAGGCTGTGAAGACTGGGGAACTCAAAGCTTATGACTGGGGAAGCAAGGCTGCAAATATGGCTCACTACAACCAGGTAGACGTCTTTTATGGATATGTTATAGTTCTTGAGCATCACAAAAAAAGTCCTTGGGCACTTCTCTGGGTGCTGTGTTTACGCTGCATGCTAAAGAGCTGCTAGTGTTGCCCAGTAACCAACTGGGGATCTTCCCTTAAAAAAAAAAAAAAAAAAAAAAGGCAGGACTATAGAGGTCTGAGGTACTCCTAAGTCAGTATGGAGCCCATGCTTGGATACAAAGTTGTGATGGCACAGTTTCTTGAGGGTGGTCTTGCCTGCCTAGATCATGAGATCCCACTGCACTTCTCATGATAAGGCTTAGACTCTCAATTCATGCGTATCGCTTATCTTCAGCCTGTTTAATCTCCATGCATGTTTGTTTCTAAATTGCTGTGTGCAATACTAAAAATATTTTGCCACTTTAGTGGCTGGGAAAGTTTGCAGTATCGTACTTTCAGAGTGGCAATCACTTTTAGTATTTGATTAGGGTTTAGAAATAACTCAAATGGGATGCATTCTCTGAGACTGTCTTGTAAACTCCTCAAACCACATCTTTATGGCTATGCGTGCTATAATATTGTAGGACTCTTGGAGTTACATTTTCTGTTGAGTCAGGATTCCATCTCCATCTCTAGCTGCCCAAGAAAGGAAGAGAAAATGAGAATCTTGACACATTCTTCTTGCACTTGCTAGTATGTTACACTGCAGTGTAGTATCACACTGAAGAGTTGTTCTTTCTAATGTTTTTGTTTTCACTTTCCCCCTCCTCAGTCTACTCCCCCTTTCTACAAAATAAAAGAGATGACTGTACCAACTGCGGTGTGGACTGGTGGACAGGACTGGCTGGCAGACCCAAAGGATGTTGCTATGCTACTCACTCAGATCACAAACTTGGTTTACCACAAAAACATTCCAGAATGGGAACATTTGGATTTCATCTGGGGCCTTGATGCACCTTACCGCATGTATAATGAAATAATTAACATGATTAGGAAGTATCTCTAAACTGGCATGGTATGTCAGAGTATTAGTTCACCAGGAATTCGTCTTTTTGGAACATATGCTTTTCTGGCAATAATACTACATTGTTTATTTATGATGCATTTTTAAAATGCCAGCAATGACTACTGAACTGGATTCATATTTGGTTTGTTTTTCTCAGTATTATTTCTCTCTCTCGCAGAAATCCTCATTGTGTCCTGCTGATTTTGCACACAGTGGCATGGTATTCAAAAACCAGCAGTGTTACTTTGCACAAAAGGAGTATGTCATGTGCATATAAATTTAGTGACATGTCTGAAAGACAAGTTAGTCCATTCAGCACCTCAGGTGCTTGACGATTAAACCAGTAAGTATTTCACTGTGCATAAAACACTGCCATTTCTCAGTGTGTTGCCACTACTGAGTACCTTTCAGAGGTACTCTTTGTACTGCAGTGACCCATTTGGTGCTGGTACTTTAAAAAGCACTTAGTGACTTTTTTGCTGTGTTATTGTTTTAGCCATCACATACAAGCTAGCTACATCAGGTGACTTTCTTTTTCAATATTGTCCAGAAGATTTGTCATGAAGCCAGAGAAGATCACCACTGTCAGTTGAAATCTATTTTGGCACTGATTCATTGCTGCATTTTTCTTGATTTAACAGTGTCCCTGAAGCCTTTCATGTTTCACGTACCAGCTATGGATAAGGATTGTTATTTGTCCTTGCAGATTCCTGGAACAAGAGAAGCGGTTAAAAGAAATACCACTTTCAGTTAGCTTTGTCAATGGGTTATGGCTTTCAAGGAGAATGATGTAACATACTTGTGTTTTGTTTTCTTTGCACTGACCACTAGAAAACAAGCTCCCCCGGTATACTACTGGTGAGGGAAGAGCCAAAGCATTAATTCTATGGCTTGAGTGACTTAATTTGCATGGACTTTTCCCCTTAATCATCTGCTACTTTGAAGATCTGTTTATTTCTTAGCTGCTTAGGTGTTGCTTGCCACCATTGTGCTCAGGAACTGTACAACACCCTGGTGAAGCCTGGCAATATTAACGGCAGTTTCCATTTGTCTCAGTTTCTACTTCAAAATGGGGCTAAGACCCCATTTAATGGGGGGAGAGAATTCACGTCTCTTTCAGGGGTCTGACTTTAGAGCTGTAATTGTCTGCAGTATAGGTGCCTTGCTCTTTCCATTGACCATGCAGAGGACTTTGGGTCCTCTGAATTGCACAAAAGTTCCATGCCAAATGTAGATGTATGAACAATGTCCAGAGTCAGTTGCCTCAGTCCGGATGATAATTTCTGTGCCATGGCTGGATTCAACCCAGACTTCTGTCAGTAATCCCAACAGGATAAAAAGCCTTTTCTACATGGCATAGAAAATAGTGCATTTTAAGCTGAAGCAAACTTTTTTTGTAAAAAAAGATGCAAAAATATGCATTAGTTATAAATTAGGTTTTGTTTATTTAGGGTTTTTTATTCCTAATTCAGACTCATGGAATCCTCAGGCTTTGTTTAAGGAAAAAGTTGTTCATGATATTTCAGTTGTGATTCCTAGCAGGACCTCTTAAGTTTGCTTTATATTTGTAGCAACCATACTTGCTTCACCTTGCTGTGCTGAAAGGAAGTTTCTGTAGGACTCCACAGTGGGTAACTTAGCAGTTGTGAGGGTATGTGATACAGCAAGAGCCATGTGCATCATGTTTATTAAACTTGAGTACTTCAATAAACATGAGACTTGCTTGGAGTTTGGAGCAATGTGTTGTGTTTCACTTCTTGTTTCATGAATACATGTGACTCTTTGGGACAGAATCCAGAAAGCTGAGTGTTTTTTACAGCTATACATCTGTAGAACAAGTACAATCATAGAGTGGTTTGGGTTGGAAGGAACCTTAAAGATCATCTAGTTCCAACCTCCTGCCATGGGCAGGGACACCTTCCACTAGACCAGGTTGCTCAAAGCCCCGTCCAACCTGGCCTTGAGCACTTCCAGGGATGGGGCATCCACAACCTCTCTGGGCAACCTGTTCCAGTGCCTCGCCACCCTCACAGTGAAGAATTTCTTCCTTACCTCTGATCTAAATCTACCCTCTTTCAGTTCAAAGCCATCACCCCTTGTCTTATCACTACATGCCCTTGTAAAAATACCTCTCCAGCTTTCCTGTAGGCCCCCTTTAGGTACTGGAAGGCCGCTACAAGGTCTCTCTGGAGCCTTCTCTTCTCCAGGCTGAACAACCCCAACTGTCTCAGCCTGTCTTCATAGGAGAGGTGCTCCAGCCCTCTGATCATCTTCGTGGCCCTCCTCTGGACTCACTCCAACAGGTGCGTGTCCTTCTTATGTTGGGGGCCCCAGAGCTGAACACAGTACTCCAGGTGGGGTCTCACCAGAGCGGAGTAGAGGGGGAGAATCACCTCCCTCGACCTGCTGGTCATGCTTCTTCTGATGCAGCCCAGGATACGGTTGGCTTTCTGGGCTGCAAACACACATTGCCAGGTCATGTTGAGTTTCTTGTCAACCAACACCCCCAAGTCCTTCTCCACAGGGCTGCTCTCGATCCACTCATACGAAAGTAAAATAGCCAAGTGAGCTTCCGTTTTAGTTTTGCCCTGAAAGAGGCTTTTCCTAAGACTAAAAGGCCATTCATGTTGTTTTGGGGGACTTCCCTGAGACTTTTAAGTAAGGTACCAATTGTAAAGAACTGCTCACAAGACAGAGTCATTTTCTAAGCCTTAAGGTGAGGCTCCTTTCAAACCACTGACATGGTGGAAAGCTTCTTGTATCACATTCTTAAACCCTGGGTAATTGGATTGCTTAACAGACTGTCTGGTAATCTCACACATAGCATTTAACCACATAGTAAGGCAGGGAACTAACCTCTGCTATGGTACATTTACCTTTGTCATCTTCAATAATAAATATACTCAGGCTGTACCTTTCTGTACATTCTGAATACAGTAGATGTGCAGTCAAGATAGGAGGGTGTATTAAATCCTATGTGTTGCCAGCTTTGTCAGCTGATGAAACCCCTGTGTGCCTGGAAACGAGGCCAGAATAGTGGAAGCTTTACACAAAAGCCATTATGGATGGAGCTTCTCTGCTTCGCTGGAGCAGGGATGTCTATGGGAATTGTGTGCTGCTGTGCTTGCTCTCCCTGGCTTGTTAAATTTACAAGCACTGTGTGACACAAACTTGGAGAGGTGTCAGTGGGAAGAAATGTGCAAAATAAGACCCTGAACACAGAGCAGAAGAGCAAGAAGGTTGGTCTAATAAGAATGAGCAGTGATGAATGGTACATTTTTCAAAGCAGATCTTAGTGCCTGTTTTATAGACATCTTTGTGTTATAGGTGTGTGTGTATATGATGTTGAAGGTTGGCTGAATGTCAGCTTTGGATAATATAAAAGCGTACCAGCATAACAGAGGGCATCAGACACGTGCTGCTGTCTTAGTCTCAGCATTTAGTGACATGATCAAACTATGCTAGAAAGCCAGAAGAAAGTAGTCCCTGTTCAGCTGATGGATTGCCAGACTCACAGACCTGTGTGCATCTGAAGTGAATGCACGAGCCAGGGCTTTGACTTAGAGATGTACAACACAATCGGGCATATGAGGGCTTACACAGACACAAAGGCATGTGGTTTTGTCCACGTGTTTTGCTTGGAAGTTGAAAAGGATTTTTTTTATAGTCATCTGCAAGTATATTCACACTGTTCATTTGATGCAGAAGGCCTAAGGATGGTTGAGTGTGTCTATGTTAGTGGTGCGTACTGAGTGATGTATTAGCTCAATGCAGAGCATTTTTACACTGTTTAGTGATTCTGCAGCTAGTGATTACACTGACAAAAGTTTACACATCAACTCAACATAGAAGTGCCTCAGCATAGGATGTTGTGGTAAAAGAGCTCCTACTCCCTTGGGCCCTGTAAGAGAAACAGTTTTGTCAGCTTGGGAACAAAATAAACCAGTTTTCTGTAAATTACTCTATGGTGAACGTGCTATACCAAAAAAAAGGAAACATGAATACTTTAATATAATGAAAAGTTACAAATGGCTTTACTCTGTAAGATAAGAGAGAGAAACCTTGATGGCTGAATAGGTTTTCTTATATATAATAAAACAGAGCTCTTGGTGGAAGATTTTCCTATAATTAGAGCATTTATAATGTCTTCTCTCTTTCTTTGATGTCTTGTAAAACATATACTCCTGCTGCAGCATTGCCCATCATGAGCATGCTAATAATGGCCTCTCTTCTCCAGTAGCCTATTTTCAAATAACTTTATATGAACAAAATCATTGAAATCATCAATGAAATAAAAAATTATGAAGGTCGGATGGACAGTAGCCACACCTGTAACATGATTGCCTGAGCCTTATTTTCTGAGGATACTGAGCTGAAAAGTGCCTGTATCGCATTCTGACTCCTCCAGAAATGATGAATGTGTGTAGTTGTAGAGGATGCAAATCCATTTCTCACTACTGAATTATGAATTCTGAATGAAAGAATTTTAGGATCTTTTCCTGATGGTTACTAGTTTGAAAACTCATCCTGGTAAGGTAAAGCTTGAGAATTAACAATTCACTTTGCTGGCAGCTTTCCATCCCTAGCTGTTGTTAGGAACGCATTAAAAAGACCTTTGATTAAGCCTTCTTTCCACGCTGGCTGGAGAGGTTTCCAGTGAAGCTGGGTTGGGGAGGTGGAGTGTTGCTATGAAAATATTTTGATTAAGAAAATGTGTTAGTTCTGTTAAGAAAAGTATTTTGTGTTTAGGCTAAAGTTTTTCATCAGAACTGAAGACGAACGTGTGTTCTTCATCCTCAAGTACTCGGCGTACCCATGGGCTCAGCGTTCAAGCTGCTTACCTGGGATGCGAGGAGCAGAGGCTCATCCCCCTGCTTCGGATTCAGACCCTGGGCTTGAATCTCAGTACGCCTAAATATAAGGAGACTATAGGTTGAAAAGAGGTAAGTATGCCAAGCCCCCTCTTTCCCTCCCAACCCGTTACGGCTCTACGGCCTGTAGACAGATCTGTGCCTACCAACCTTTCGTCCCGCAGCAGAACGGCGTGCATTCTGTTACCGCCGCAGGTCTTAAGGAAGCCTCGGAAGCACCTCGCGGTGTCGGTAAGGCTGACAGAACGCCACCCCGTACTTGGAGAGCCGTCGCTGCGGCGCAGCCCGCGGCGGGCGGTTTGCGGGGAGCGGCGCTGCGGGCCGTGCCTTTCTGCGCTGGGGGGTGCTGTTGCCTGCGGAGAGGCCGCTGCAGCCCAGCGCGGGGGGGGCGCATAAAGCGCTCGCTTAGAGCCGCAGCCTCGCAGAGCTGCCATGAGTCCTGCTGAGCAGTGTGTCTCCTTGCACTCAGGCTCTCGGACCAAGGTGAGTTAGGATGCGAGGACCTCACATTTATCGTGTTTTTCCAGCATGGTAACACTTTCTTTTAAAACGAGAGGGGACCGCCTCTGCCTGCCTTTGCTCGGGTTGCTATCCCGCTTCCCTGCTGCTGTCCTGAGCAAGTTATCAGCCCTCTTCCCCAGCACCCTTTTCCTGGTAGAAGGCTCAGCACGCGCTGGGATGTCGCCTTATCGCTGGTACAACAACAGACCCGCCGCACAGAGGGGGAGAAGAGGAGGAGGGAAAAAGAAGATTTGCCTCTGCTGCTGTGACGTTAGTTTCAGTGTGTTTTCCCTGCCTGGTGTTCCCTCCTGCTAACCTTCCCTCATTCTCCTACCCACTTAGTGTTTTGCTGTTTACCTTAGAGCTTGTACCTAACAGTGGAGCCCGGGGTAGGTGCTTGCTTCTTGTGCTCATGTGGAATCTATTTAAGACCCTTTGCGGGGCCTCATTCCAAACTATGTGCCCTTCAACCTAAACTCTGCAGCAGGAGTCCTGATTTTTTTGAGACCCGTTTAGCGTCTCGCAACACATGGGAAAGTTTGGCAGCATCGCAAGTTGAGCGAAAAAAGCTGGGGTTGTGTTGCTGAGTTAAGTACAGAAGGGATTTGCCTGTCCTTTGTCTCGTCTTCACGTTGTACTTCGCTCTGACAAAGAAACCCACTCTAGCGGAGCAGCAGTGCGTGATAAGTGCCTTTTAGTGGCCGAGCCGAACAGCTGGGACTCGGTTTCCGGAGAGCGGGGCTTCGGCCTCCCTGGTGCGTGCGCATTCGTCCCCCTGAGCGCACTCGCTTGCCGAGCGAGCCCGACCGGGTGCCGGGCCGGGCTCAGCCCT